TATATACAAAGGCTGTCTTAATATCCATTAGGATAGGGGGCACACAGCGTGTGTGACTACCCCTATCAAAGATCATGTCTCATGGAGAACAAACGTAAAAGAGAGCTTGGTGGAAAGGTTAGACGGGGTTTAATACTCAATGTAAGCCCCTCCTCTCCACATAGGGGTGGGGGCACTTTCTGCCTCCACTAGCGTCTGTATGATATATGTGCCAATGGCTTGCAAATACTTGACAGTTCCCCTCCTTGCGAGCCAATGGCATGCAAACATACAAATGCAATGCACAACAGATTTTACCCTGTGAGACATAACTTTTTACACAGATCTTTGTGCCTATCTGCTGGTAGAGGTTTTGTGAAAATATCAGCTGTTTGATATTTGGTCTGACAATGTGATAAAGATATAAACCCCATCTCTACTAGTTGCCTAACATTTTGATAGTGGATATCAATATGTCTGGACCTTTTTCCCACCGCATAGGCTTTGGCAATGCCTATGGCCCCGGTGTTGTCTTCTATAATTTGGATGGGCAAAGTCGGTGGTGTCCAGATGCTAGAAATTAAGGCATCAAACCATATCAGATCGTTCCCTGCCTCTGATAAGCATGCATATTCGGCCTCAGCGGTGGAGCACGAAACAAATTTCTGTTGCCCCACATGCCAATGGATGGGTGCCTCATTTAATAGTACCAAGAAGCCCGAAGTACTCCTACGTGTGTTGGTATCTCTGGCCCAGTCCGCATCCGCGAAGCATTTTAATTGGGCCTTGTCTCTATTCTCAGGTTCCAAGCGAAGCACATAATCTGCTGTGGTCTTGAGATACCTTAGTAGCTTTTTAATGGCCAACCAGTGGAACTGGGTAGGATGTTCCACTTGTCTAGATAGCAGGTTTACGGCCAGGGCAATATCTGGATGGCTCCAGTTACTTATATATAGTAATGAGCCGATCACTGACCTAAATAGAGTATTATTTTGGAACTCTGGGCTATCCTTGTGTGCCAATCCATAATAGTCGGTCTGCATTGGGATAGCCGTTGGCTTGCTATCTTCCATTTTACATTTCACCAAGAGTTCCTGTATCTTTTCCTTTTGGGAGAGAGCAAAACCTTTTGGTGTAGTGATGATTTGTACGCCTAGGTACTTATCCACATATCCTAAAGACTTTAGAGTGAACTTTTTTTTGTAGGGTCCTGGCAAATATAATACTTCCCCCCTTGTCAGGCCCTATATATAAAAGGTCATCGACATACACTAGGACTTTCTCCAGCCCCCCTTTGGTATCCCTTGTGAAGGTACATTTATCAGCTGGAGATGGATGGAAACCCAGTGATTTGAGAGTTTTAGTCAGGCATTTGTACCACAGTCTGCCTGATTGTTTGAGGCCGTACAAACTTTTCTTCAGAAGCCAGGTGTGGCCTTCCTGCCGTTGAAATCCAGGGGCACCTCTGACGTAAATTTCTTGTTTTAGATGTGCGTGTAAATAAGCAGTTTGCACATCAAATTGAAAAATGTGTTCCCCATGTGCTGCTGCGGTGACCAAAGCAGCCCTCACACTTTCCGCTCTCACGGTGGGGGAGTATGTTTCATCAAAGTCCTGCAAGTAGCGCTGTGCATAGCCTTGTGCTACCAGCCGGGCCTTATAGAGGAGTTTGTTGTTGGGCATTGGCTTGACCTTGTAGACCCAACGGGTGCCAATTGCTTTCCTCTTTTTGGGGACTTCCATGGGGATGAAAACTTTCAATTTTTTGAGACTGTCCATTTCCTGCTCCATTGCCACCCTCCACCTGCGCTGTTCTTCCTCGGGAAGCTGAAGGACATCTGAGTACGTTTTAGGGGCCATGGTAACGCTGTTGACCGAGGCAACACAGCCAATGTCCAACCTTTTGGGTGGCACCCCTTTATTGGAGCGTTTTGACCGTCTGGGAAATTGCCACTCACCATCATCATTGTCATCTGGAGCATCGGTGTCAGAATTGGAGCTGCCGGAGGTATCTTTCCAATCAAAATGGGGCGGGCCTCTGTCCCAGGCACTGCGAAGATATGGTCGTTTAGGTGAGGCAGGAGGTGTGAAGTCACCCAGGGATTCCTTGTGTGAATCGTCAGAGTCAGGTAGGGATTCATCACCATCCGGATCTTCGCTGGTCAGTTGTTTGGAGTTTGTTGGTTCATCCTCTTCAGGTGGTGCTGCTTGTTCAGTGTCGCTTCTAATAGGGGAATAACCGGGTTCATTGGAATGAATTTTTGACCAATTTGACCCCTCCTCAAAGGAAGCTGATCTAGAGACAATGACAAGGTTATTTTTGTCTACAAACCTAGAGGCCTTGCTGCCGGTTGCATAACCTATAAATCTGAGCCTCCTTGATGCCTTGCCCCCCTTTCTTCTGAGGTGCTTGGGGATATGGACCCAGGCATAGGAACCAAAAATTCTCAGGTGTGAGAGGCTAGGTTTCCTTCCATGGACCAGGAAGTATGGGGTTTGGTTAATGGCACTACTCCACGTCCTGTTGACTAGATAATTAGCCATTTTGACCGCTTTTGCCCAAAAAACTTGGCTCATGTCAGCATCTGCAAGTAGGCAGTTCATGACATTCTGCAGCACGCCATTTCTCCTTTCTACAATGCCATTCTCGGATGGAGTTTGAGGGGATGATTTAAAATGGAGGATACCTCTCTCCTTCATCCACTTTTCAAAAATCTTGGATGTAAACTCAGTCCCCCTATCACTCTGCACCTGGGCGATGCACACCTTGTGTTGCGTTTGGATCTGGTTGTAAAGATATTTGAAGTTGGTAAAGACTTCAGTTTTGTCCTTTAAAATAAATACATGGCCATAACGAGAGTAATCATCTACTACTGTTAAAAAATAATGCCCCCTACCAAGGGAGGGTCTAAAAGGACCAACCAAATCCATGTGTACCAGCTGATAAGGGTACCTTGCACGACGGGAAGAGACCTTAGGTATAGCAGCAGTTTTAGATTTTGCTGCCTTACAGATGGCACATTCCAAATAGGTATTACAATTCTTTATCTTAAGCCCATCAGAAAAATCTTGCATTTTCTTAATAACCGGGAAGCTGGCATGGCCGAGCCTGCGGTGTAATATATGAGCACAATCCAAATATAAAGGTTTACCCATGCATACTTTGTCAACCTTATGTATCTTACCATTACAAGCCTTGGTCTGTTCAGTAATGAGAGTAGGCACTGGATTAATGGTCACCTTAGAGTTCCTCAGGATTGGCTGAGGAGTTGTGACCTTAATGGGCTCAGTCTTAATGGCTTTGGATGTCCTAGGAGCTGGTTTAAAAGCTTCATTGGTTTTAGGTCCAGGGTCCTTGAATTTGGACAACCTGGGGGCTGGCACAGAAGCTTTCTGCTCTATCTGGGCGTTAGCTCCCTGAGCCCTCTTGTTAGGTTTCTTGTGCCTTTTGACCTGTGCTTTTGGGGAAAAATAAGGCAAATTGTTGATTTTTACAATATCGCCAACAACACCCCCATTTTCGAAAACATAACCTCCACCCTTCTCAAAAACCAGTTTTACATTTTTATCCTCAGTCAATTTTAAGATGCTTAAAAGGTTGTTCTTGATTGAGGGAACATACAGTGCCCCTGTGACATCTCCTATACCAGGCACATTGATCACACCTTCCCCAGTTACCTCTGCCTTGTCCCCAGTGGAAACTTTTACTGAGGACTTGAGTGGATGTAAAACCTGAAATCATTGCTTCGTGTTGGCTATATGCGTTGATGCACCTGAATCAAGAAGCCACAGCCCCTCAGCATCCTTTATCTGGGAGGTGTGGTTGTCACTAGTGACACTACAGTATTGGTATCCTTTATGACCACCTCCCCCTCTTCCACGGCCTCTTTTATTTTTACTGTGCTTAAGTCCAGCCGTGTTGGCCCTAGAGCGAGGGCACTCCCTTTTAAAGTGACCTTGTATGCCACAGTCAAAGCAGGTGGGAAGGGTATTAATCCTTTCACTTGTGTCCTGGCGCCTCCTCTGAGGCCTAGGCCTGTGATATGCCTCCTTCATTTCTTGTTGTTCCTCATCTCTGCACCTTAACTCTTCCTCAATAAAGCGGCCAGAAAAGTATTCTATATTTCTTTGTTCCCTAGAAACCCCTTCTAGAGAAATAATAAAGGGACTCCAGGATTTGTCTAGGGAGTTCAACATCACACTAATTAAAGTGGATTCAGAAACAGGCTCCCCCCTCTGTATAAGCTCATCCCTCATGGCTTTAAGCATTGCCAAATGTTCCCCCATTTTGACACCAGGTCTGAGTTTATAGTTGTGGAAAATTCTTGACAATCTGCTGGTTGCAGCCATATTGTCACTATGGAACAAATTATATAGAGCAGTCCAAACTTCCTGAGCTGTGAGGCCATCTGAAAGACTGGCATAAAGAGCTGTGTCTATAGAACTTAACAGGGTTGTGTAAACTCTTTTATGCAGGAACTCAATTTCAGGGCTCCAAGGTGAAGAGGGTGGTCTTTTGATCATGTCCAGAGTATTTTCTCTTAAGAGAATTATCTGAATCTCTTTACACCATTTTTTAAAATTCTGACCACTTAAATGTAATTTTTCAAAATTATTTGGCAAAGTTACAAAATTATTGCCATTAAACTGCATGGGGAGTTGTTCAAATGGCTGAAAAGAGCCTGTTGTGAATGGCATTGGGATCCCTAAGCCTGGGATCGATTGCTTAGGTCTGGCTCCTTTTTGTAGTCCTTCTGTAGTTTGAAGCAACTGGGCACGTGCAGGAAATGGAGCATGCTCCAAAGCCTTTCCTTGTTGGAGCTCCGATCTCCCTCTCTGAGCTCTGAAGTCAGGTCTGGCTGGAGCTTCAGTATAGGCCCGGACATCAGCGATGTGGCGGGGAAGACTTGGAGGAGTGGGAAGAAGGCCTGGAGATCTTTCTGGAGACTGGAGGCCCATCAGATGAGGTCCATGGGCTGGATAGGCCTGGAAATGTCTCTGGATCTCCTCTTCTCCATCAGAGGAGCAGGATTGCAGCTCCGGATCATCCCAGCAAGACCGGAAAGGTGCGGAGGCCTCAGCCTGGGCCTCCCTGGAGCATTCAGGGAATGGTGAGCGCCTCTGCAGTGGGGGGTGGGAGGCTGCAGGTCCATCTGGGTTCCTCCGGGGGTGGGAGGTTGGATTTGGGGCCCTCCTTAAGTGGGCAGCTGGGTCTGGGGCCTCGGGGCGGCCGGTGGGTGGTTGCCCCATAAGTTCCAGGGCAGCGACCAGGGCCTCTATGGCCTCTTTGATGTTTGCCGTGGCAGGCGGGGCCTGGCAAGGGGCTTGTGGGTTCGGAGTGGTCCTCTGGGCCGCTGGAATGCTGAACTGACTGGCTGGCATTGTAGGCCTGGGCTGTGGAGCTGGGGATGGCCTGGCTCGTGGTGCTGGCAAAGTGCCCAGGGGAGCAGCCATCTTGGAGGAAGTTGCCTCCGGAAGTGGCCTGGCGGCCATTTTGTTTGGCGGGAAACTGGGTGGGGGGCAGTCTCTCTGGCGGCAGGCGCCATCTTGGAGAGATCAGGCAGGGGAGTCCTTACCGGGATGGCAGGCATCTCTGGTGCTGCCTCCTCAGGCCTCTTTCTGGCTGCTGCCCTTGTCTTCAGGAGGGAGGCGAGCGCTGCTCGGCACTCCTCTTCTGACATCTCAGCCACTTGCCTGTCCAGGCTTTCATCTGGTCCTTCTGCCCCTTCTTCGTCAGTGCTGAAGAAGCCTTCTCCAACATTGCCTGGCTCAGCCTCTGGGATCTCTTGCTGCATCTGGGTGGCCTCTGGCTGCCAGGGTGTAGCTGGATGGAAACCCCCTTCAATGTTTTCCATGGTTGATTCAGACTGGGGCTGCTGTGAAGTTCTCCTCCGTTGAAGGCCTCTGGTCACAACAGGGGAGCTTCTCTCACAGGTTATTTTGGAGGGCATCTCGCCTTTTCAACAGCTCCTGGAGTGGAGTTCTGCTACCATTCCTCTGCTACCATTCTGTGGAAATTGGGATCGTAGAAACACCCAGGAGCATAGAAGAGTCCAAAGGCAGATGCATGAATAAATGTGATAAATGTATTTATTCATATAACAAAACATATTAACTATGTACAAAAGGCTGTCTTAATATCCATTAGGATAGGGGGCACACAGCGTGTGTGACTACCCCTATCAAAGATCATGTCTCATGGAGAACAAACGTAAAAGAGAGCTTGGTGGAAAGGTTAGAGGGGGTTTTATACTCAATGTAAGCCCCTCCTCTCCACATAGGGGTGGGGGCACTTTCTGCCTCCACTAGTGTCTGTATGATATATGTGCCAATGGCTTGCAAATACTTGACAAGAACCCAACATGGTCCTAATCTGAGTGCATTTGTGGAAGAGATGCTTCAACAGGTCAGTTGAAGTCCTAGTCAGCATGGTAGATCCTCCTCTTTTTTCTCTCAGTAGGTAGCCTGAATCCCATCTGTAAAAAGACACTCAGTTCATATTAATGTTGATTATTATGGCTTAGAATTATTTCTGAGTCCACTCCATTTTTTTTAGTATGCCATTTCTTGTACTCCTTCTTTGTTGCGTTAAGTCTCTGCCAACTTCAGCATATGGGGAAGAAGTTAACTTGGTCCTAATGGGTTCCTGATCTTAAATTCATCAGACTTTTCAACATCAAAGGCTAAATTATTCCTCTCTAGACAGTGAAGTGATAAACCAGGGCAGGACAAACCTTCTACATGGCCCCCACTTGGTCAAATCTACTTCTTTGCAAGCTACACTTTCTCTATTTCTAGAGAAAGTCTAGCTTGCATTTGTCATTTACAAAACTATGGGCCCAAATAAAACTGAAAATGTAGCTTGCCAAGTATCACAGGGCAAAACTACACAATGTAATTTGGAATATGGCATAAAAATGTTTGTATGTAGCTATCACTCTTGTAAGACTGGAATTGAAGAAGCCATGATACTAATGTGCAATGATAAAGAAAATGTATTGTCATTGAAGTTGAATATTTGATGTTACATCTGATTACTTAGATCTCCATCAAGGGAACTCATTTAGCTTCTCAGATATAGACCCATCTCCTAGGCTGATTATGATAGAAACCAGGATGTACTCTGTGTGGAGTTCAGCCAATTAGTCCAGATGTCTTTTTTTCCCCAGATTCTCCCCTATTTGAGGAACAGCAAGTTCAACAACAGTGCTAGGGAAGAAGTCTCCTTCTCAGAAAGTGGATTGGTTTCTCCTCATTATGATCTTGTCAACTGGCTTTTCCTCCCCAATCAATCTTTTGTCCCCATGAAAGTTGGGCAAATAGATTCCACAGCTTCCCAAGGACAAGATTTCACCACTAACTCTGATGAAATCGTCTGGGTCACAAAGGTGAGCTGGAAGGAAAAGTTGTAAATTCAGAAAAGGATTCATTCATTCCAGGAGATGCATAACACCCTTTCACTGGGAAACCCATTAAATTCAGGGATTTGATGAAAAAACATGCTTTTGAGTTGAACACATTTGAGATTTGACTTATAATTCTTTCTTTTAGAAAAGCTGTAGCTCCATGTCACAAGCCTTCCTTTACATTTTGAGGTCCCAGTTCCAATCTCCAGCATCCATTAATGGGTCAGGATTGCATTGGCCTGATTCCCTCTGGAGTTTATCCTGGTTACTGGTAAACCATTTCTTTTGAAGACATTCTAAAGATGGAAAGAGCAATGTACAAATGAATAAATGAAGAATAATCTTTGCTGAGCCACCTGCAATATCTCTCTTCTCTTTTTTAGACTGTGCCCTTTGCCAGGTGTGGCATGAAGAGGTGCCTGGCAGGAGAGAGGAGAAGTGTTCCAGAGGGCGAGCCAGTTTGCTGCTACCAATGTGACCCTTGTCCAGAAGGAACCATTTCTAATCAGACAGGTAGCACATTCAAATGTTGATTAATCTTCCAGGATCAAGGAAACCATTCAATGGAAAAGTGTTAATTTTGGCATCAGCTTGGTAGGATTTATATGCTTCAATATATTCATATTTCTTTTCAGCAGACCCTCTCAATTCATGAATCTTAACTTAATATCAATTTAATACAGGTTGGTGTCAGGGATCCAAGTAATACACACATATCAAACAAAACTTCAAGGCAGGTAGATTCCTCAAAGAAAAGCTTTATCGGATATATCATATTGGCACAGATCTGGTGAAAACTGACTCTGAAGGTTCCCACGGTTTACACCTAATTAAAGGTTGTCACTTTCTCAAAACAATCAGTCACATGGTCCAATCAAGGTGCTGTCTGGTTGCCTGTCGACATCACTGCATCTTCCTCTGACCAGGTGTGAGAATGTCCTTGGATCCCAAGAGAAAATATTTTGTTTTGGCTATCAAAATCCCAGCTATCTAAAATCCCCCCTCCCTATCCTTCAGCTCCAGCGTGACAACATTGAAGCTCTCAAGGTGGCTTTGATCAGGTCAGCTTCAGTTGATTTTGGAGCACAATTCATGGTTCCCTACTTGGCTTTCTACTCCTACTTTAACATCCCATCAGGAAAACCAGACACCAATCCCTTTTTCTGGCTATTCCCAGCATTGTCAGTATGGACGGATAATTTGCCCTTGTTGAATCACCAAGAAATTCACACTGACTTTTGATTTCAGATGCAGCTCACTGTGACCCCTGCCCAGAAAACCAATATCCAAACAAGGAGAAGGATCACTGCATTGCCAAGAAGATCCATTTCCTTTCCTATCAAGACAGCCTGGGATACATTTTAGTTTCTCTCGCTGTTTCTCTCTCTGTGATCACATTGGCAGTTCTGGTGATTTTCCGTAAATATCACAACACACCAATTGTCAAGGCCAACAACCGAGATCTCACCTACGTCCTCCTGGTCTCCCTCCTCTTCTGCTTCCTCTGCTCCTTCCTCTTCATTGGTCGACCAGGGAAGATCACCTGTCTCTTCCGACAAACTGCCTTTGCCATTCTCTTTTCCCTTGCAGTGTCCTCTGTGTTGGGAAAAACTGTCATGGTGGTTCTGGCCTTCATGGCTACCAAGCCAGGGAACAAGACAAGGAAATTCTTAGGAAAACCTCTGACCAACTCCATTGTCTTAGCCTGTCCCCTGGTCCAAGTAGTTCTTTGTACCACCTGGCTGGCAACCTCTCCTCCATTTCCCAACTTTGACTTCCACTCTTTAGTAGGAGAGGCCATCTTGGAATGTAATGAAGGCTCAGCTTTAATGTTTTATGCTGTCCTCTCCTACATGGGTGTTCTGGCCCTCATCAGTTTCACGGTGGCCTTTTTGGCTAGGAAATTGCCTGACAGCTTTAATGAAGCCAAGTTCATTACTTTCAGCATGCTGGTCTTTTGCAGTGTTTGGATCAGTTTCCTCCCCACCTACCTGAGCACCAAAGGGAAGTCCATGGTGGCCGTGGAGATCTTTTCCATCTTGGCTTCTGGGGCTGGTCTCTTGGCTTGTATCTTTTTCCCCAAATGCTACATTATCCTATTTAAACCAAATCTCAATTGTAGAGAGAATATAATGAGACATAAAAATCTCTGATGTATATGGGGATGTATGTTTAATTTTGACATTTTAGTTTTTGATTTTTAATATAAATGATGAGAGAGGTGCTTTTTCCTTAAATAATTGGAAATCAAGTGATGTGCTAATCACAAACTTTCTAATAATCAGCAACAAACACCCATCCTTTTATTTTTCATTAATGCCAGTTCTTCCCAGGGAGGCCCCATGATCAACTTGGAAATAAATGATAATAAGGTAAAGATGTTGTTATTACTTTCCAACATACCTGTTCTCTTTTTTTAATCTGATTGGCTATAAAAATGCGTTGTGTTCACTATTAGTGTTTTTAAGACTTTTTTTCCAATAGATTAGCAAGGGTTTGCCTTTTCCTGCTAATTTTTTCATTCAATTGGCCATTAGTTTTTTTAAAAGGTATGGAGTTTATATGAACCATACTGTTTTAATTTCTATTAACTTAAGTGAGAAAGCTACATTTTCCTCCAGCTGGAGTCCACGTGGGCGTCGGAATCGGCTTGGCGGCGTTTTTTGCCTGGGGCGCTGCGGTACGGCGATTTCCCAGGCTGAGGGGTTGCCCGGAGTGCTATGGGAGTTGCCGGATTTCCCAGGAGATCTTTGGGACACTGCCAGACCCTTTTGGGCGTTACGGCAGCGACGGCGGCGATGGCAGGACGACGGCAGCTGTGATGGCAGCCCAGAGGGTCTGGCAGGGAGGAGACACCCCCCCTGGAAGTTGGGGATGGGGGGGGCAACGAGGCCGGGAGATCATCTGCCTTTTGGGTTGAGCAAGGACCTGGCATGAGACGCTTTCAGATCTTGGGAGGCCTCCATTGTTATGTGGGGGTTGGGGGAGGCTAGAGATAACTGCCCCTGTTTCCCCCCAATGCTTCTCTACCAAGACTATGCCCACCTTGGATTGTTGGCTAGCTCACTGACTCACCTGACGCCAAGTTTATTTTCATCTGAACTTTCCCTAACTGTGGGGAGGACTATTTAAATCTGAATGGGGGCCGGTACATGGCTCCATCCCATCAGCTGAGAGGGCTGGGCTCAGTTAAACCACCGTGAGAGGGTGGCTCTGATGTCGGGGCCCCTGGGGGCTGAACTGGGATGATATTGAATTCTTGCATCTGCCAGCAGAGGGGACCTGACCATCAGACCAACCGCCATGAGAGGGCGGTTTTTGGACCTGAGCCCCGGATGCTGTGCTGTCTGCATTGGTTCATCGCTGCCATCTCACCACAAGAGGGGGTCGAATGGTTGATCGGACCTCCGTGAGAGGGTGGTTGGGTCTTCCCCCTTCCCCCCCTTGGACTGTGGTCGACCTGGAACTTGACTTCGTCCTCTGTTGTGAGGGGACAGTGGACCGGTCCTGTTGAAAATGTTTTTGAGACTTCCATTCCATGTCTCTCCCCTGGACCTTCTATATGGACCCCTAGGATATGGTTGCTCCCATCCTCTGTGGTCAAGATGTATTCCGCAGTGGAGCTTCTTGGTCTGCGAGACTCCCCCCTCTCGCAGGCTTGGCCCTCCACTCTATCGAGGGCCTACCTCGATGACGGGCTTTGGAACCCCGAGAGGTGGCATGCCGCAAAGAGGGGGTTGTGGGGTTTTTTAAAATTGTCTTTTTGTAATCTTTTAAGGGGCTTAGGGCGGGGGGTGGGGAGGGAGGGGCATAGGTCAGGCCCGTTACAGGGGCATGGAACGGAAGGCGGGGAGCGGGGTGTGGAGGAGCTCAGTGTGGATAGGGTGGAGGGCAGTTCTATCAGGACCGTGGTTGGGAGGGGCAGATATGGCGGGAGTAGGGGGCCACATCAGGTGGTGGGGCACGCACCCGCTATCTCCAAGCGATGGCATGCCTCGGCCCCCATGACTCTTCTCGTCTCCCCGGCTGTCCAGAGTCTCAGAGCCCAGGCCTTAGACTGATGTTGTGCAATGCCAGGTCCGTGGTTAATAAGGCCCCCCTCATTTGTGAGCTAATACAGGAGGGGGGTGCGGACCTGGCAGGTATTACAGAGACCTGGTTGGGCCAAGAGGGGGGGTCCCCCTCGTAGAGATGTGTCCACCAGGTTTCCGTGCATTCCATCAGCCAAGGGCCCAGGGCAGGGGTGGGGGGGTGGCGGTCATTATAAAGGAAGGTCTTGATCCGAGGGAGGCTGGATGTGAGTCTCTCCTGGTGAAGTGGGGCCATGGGATGCAGGTGGGCCTGCTGATCGCGTACCTGGCTCCCTGCCACGTGACAGCGGCCCTGCCCGAGCTTCTCAACGTTATTGCCGGGGTGGCGGTTGATACCCCCAGACTTTTGGTCATGGGGGATTTCAACCTGCCATCTACCAGTGGGGCGTCTGGGATGGCTCGGGAGTTTATGGCTTCCATGACAGCCATGGACCTGACACAATTAATTCATGGCCCCACTCACGTGGGAGGACACACTCTGGACTTGGTTTTTATCTCTGGTCAGTGGCGGAGTGGTCTGGATATAGGGGATATAGTTATTGAACCCCTGTCATGGTCGGACCATTCTCTCCTGAGACTGGACCTTTCGACCGCTGCACCCCACTGCAGGGAGACGGAACCGACCAGGTGGTTCCGCCCCAGGCGCCTGATGGATCCTGATAGGTTCCAGAGGGAGCTTGGGCCAGTTCCTGAAACTCTGGCACACGACTCGGCTGAAGATCTGGTGGCTGCCTGGGATAGGACAGCCGCCGGTGCTCTGGACCGAGTCGTGCTTTTGCGGCCTCTGACCTGACGCCGAACCTGTCCGGCCCCTTGGTTTTCCGAGGAGCTGAGGGAGATGAAGCGCCAGAAAAGATGCCTAGAGAGTGGTTGGAGGGCGAGTCGCTCCAAATCCGACCGAACACTAGTTAGGTCTCATATTAAGACCTATCTAGTGGCGATAAAAGCGGCAAAGCGTAACCACTTTTCCGCTCTTATTGCATCGGCAGATAACCGCCCAGCCACCTTGTTTAGGGTGACCCACTCCCTCCTATATCAGGGAGCGCGGGAAGACCCCTTGCAAGGGCAGGCTGAGGATTTTGTACAGTATCTGCACGATAAAATCGCTCAGATTTGGGAAGGCTTAGACTCTGACTGGGTAGATCCCGGCGGGGTGACTGAGGCTGGTCTTGAGAATGTTACCTGGGATGAGTTCGACCCTGTGACTCCTGAGGACGTGGACAGGATCCTGGGGAGGTTAAACGCAACCACATGTTTATTGGACCCGTGCCCCTCCTGGCTGGTACTGGCCACCCGGGAGGTAACACGAGGCTGGCTCCAGAGGATCATAAATGCTTCTCTGAGAGAGGGTTTCTTGCCTCCCACCTTGAAAGAGGCGGTGGTGAGGCCCCTCCTCAAGAAGCCTTCTCTGGACCAGGCCGTTTTGGCAAACTATCATCCGGTCTCCAACCTTCGCTTTGTTGCGAAGGTTGTGGAGAGTGTGGTTGCGCGACAGCTCCCACAGTTCCTGGATGAAACCGTCTATCTAGATCCATGCCAGTCCGGCTTCAGGCCTGGGTACAGCACGGAGACGGCATTGGTCGCATTGGTGGATGATCTCTGGAGGGCTCGGGACAGGGGTTGTTCCTCTGTTCTGGTCCTGTTAGACCTCTCAGCGGCTTTTGATACCATCGACCATGGTATCATGCTGCGCCGGCTGGAGGGACTGGGGGTGGGAGGCACCGTGTTGCGGTGGTTCTCCTCCTATCTCTCTGACCGGTCGCAGTCTGTGTTGGCAGGGGGGCAGAGGTCGACCTCGAGGCGCCTTGCTTGTGGGGTGCTGCAAGGGTCGGTCCTCTCGCCGCTCCTGTTCAACATTTATGTGAAGCCGCTGGGTGAGATCATCCATGGTTTTGGGGTGCGATGCCATCTGTACGCTGATGACACTCAGCTGTACATTTCCACCCCAGACCACCCCAATGATGCCCTCGAAGTGATGTCCCAGTGTCTGGAGGCCGTGCGGGTCTGGATGGGGAGGAACAGGCTTCGGCTCAACCCTTCCAAGATCGAGTGGCTGTGGATGCCGGCGTCCCGGTATAGCCAGCTGGTGCCATCGCTGGCTATTGGGGGCGAGTCACTGACCCCCACAGAGGGGGCTCGCAACTTGGGCGTCCTCCTGGACACACGGCTGTCTTTAGAAGAGCATATGATGGCCGTGGCCAGGGGGGCTTTTTATCAGGTTCACCTGATACGCCAGTTGCGCCCCTTTCTGGATTGGGACTCCTTGTGCACGGTCACTCATGCCTTGGTTACGTCACGCCTGGACTACTGTAATGCTCTCTACATGGGGCTCCCCCTGAGGAGCACCCGGAGGCTCCAGCTGGTGCAGAATGCGGCCGCGCGGGTGATTATGGGAGCGACGTGGCGCTCCCACATAACACCTCTCCTGCGCGAGCTGCATTGGCTCCCGGTGGTCTTCCGGGTGTGCTTTAAGGTGTTGGTTCTCATCTTTAAAGCGCTCCATGGCTTAGGGCTAGGGTATTTGCGAGACCGCCTGCTGATACCGATAACCTCCCACCGGCCAATACGCTCTCACAGAGAGGGCCTCCTCGGGGTGCCGTCGGTCAGGCAATGTCAGCTGGCGGCCCCCAGGGGGCGAGCCTTCTCTGTGGGGGCACCCACCCTGTGGAATGAGCTGCCTCCTGGAATACGATTGATCCCGGACCTCCGGACCTTCCGTAAAGCCCTGAAGACGTTTTTATTTCATCAAGCCGGCCTAGCCTAAATGGTTTTTTAATTGGGATTTTAAATTTTATGGATTTGGGGTTTTAAATTTGGGTAGCCAATGATTTAATTCTTTTAATTATCTTAACTTTTGCATTTGTATGTTTTTTTAATTTTGGCTGTTCACCGCCCTGAGTCCCTTCTGGGAGAAGGGCGGTATACAAATTAAATTAATAAAATAAATAAAATAAAATAAGATCATGTGATTATTTTCTGGCCCCAGCTTTTCATACCTTATTTATTCTTTCTGACTCTTATGAAGATGGAAGGAAGGAAGGAAGGAAGGAAGGAAGGATGGATGGATGGATGGATGGATGGATGGATGGATAGATAGATAGATAGTGTCAGACTTCGATGCTATCTCAAAATAAATGAATTTCCAAACTGCCAATCTTTAAGGAAATCTTCTCTTTATTTGAGCACAGCAACTGGATCATGACTCGTGCGGACAAGACTGACCTTTTGCCCCCCAATCCCTCCCTTTCTGATCCCAAATTCTCTGCTTCTCATTGGCTATCTTCCAAGTCACTCTCCTGACTTCTTGTCTCGTCATTTCACAGGAATGTTCCCCCCCCTTCATTTCCACGGAGACCGAGCT